TTCCATGGATTCTTGAGAAGTGTCTCCGTCACAGGACTTTCCATGTGGGTCACTGTTATTACCTTAGGACCACAGACATTACTCCACACATCTGTACATAACCACCAGTACGATTCCCAGCCATTTTTATCAGACGTGGCTGCATGCACGCCACAACTTTCAGGGGTCGGGGCCCGGCTGGCGGAGCAAAATGGCTGGCAGTGCGAGCCAAAAGGAGGCCGACGCTGGCTCCTTTTTTTTCTAGTGCGCGAGCCAAAAGGAGGCCGACGCCGGCTCCTTTTTTTTCTAGTGCGCGAGCCAAAAGGAGGCCGACGCCGGCTCCTTTTTTTTCTAGTGCACAGGGCTTTTCGAGCCTTGGCCTACGCTTGGAAACTCAGACTTTCCTTGGACTGACTCGTGGATCCGGTCTGGTTGCCCGGATGCCACCAAACCTCCTGAAGTCGGTTGGGGATATATAGCACAAGTCTGCAGAGGTGTTATCATGAAGGCAATATGGCAGGCTCGGAATCTGAAACTTCTCAGGGGCGAGCGTACTCACTCAGAAGAATTAAAAGGGATCATTATCCTTCAGATTAGACTGATTATCATTGCAGATTGGCAGAGGAAAGGACCGTTCTGGCTTAGGCGGACCTGGGCAGTTGGCGACCATTTTGCTTCTGCTTCGCAGGAAGGGAAACTGATAATCAGCCCCTGGCTGACCCCTCGACTTAGAGGGAATAAGCCAGTGGGGCAGCTACCCAGAGTGGGATGGCTAGGAAATTGCCCTGAGTAGGTAAGGCTAGTTCCTTCCCGCCCTGTGGCGGGAGATAGCTGGACCAGAGGAGTGCAGTGTACTTTCAGGATTGAGAGAACTTCTCGGTGGGACACTGGACCCGGTTTCCACCAGCCTAAAGCTGAGTAAGGGCCTCAGCATGTTTGTACCGGGTGGCTTGTTGGGTGTGTTCCCGGGCCCTGTTTCCATTATAGTATTACGGGGAACCCCGTAGCAGCCACATCCGTGCTCAAGCCTCCAACAAGGGAACATGCGGGAGCTGCACCCACCAGCAGGTGCGATACCTGCTACAGCAGGTGGGCGATACCGGCCAGGGGTCAGCCGGTAGCATCAGGACCGAGCTTCTTCGATGGGCCAGTCACTGTGCCTCCCCTCCGGTCCCCTCCCCCTATGAACATGAGCAGTCTCTGCTCAATGTCACTCGGGGGGACCAACGGCATATCTCTAGGTGGTGGGCGCCAAGCTTGCCCAGGAAAGTGCATGAGGCCAACGGGGATTGAACCCGAGACCTCCTGAATGCCACTTGCGTGCCTTACCAATATTTTTCTGAGCAAGGACAACACCAAATCTATGTTCTAAAAATAAAAAAAATAAAAAATAAAAAAAATAAAAATTATACGCCTTCAATTTTTTTCACAGCACAAAAAATGTGCAAAGTCAGCGCATTCATTTTTTTGTGCACCTGCATCAATCCCCCCAGCCCACAGAAAGTTTCGTTTCTGACTGGCGCATGTTGCAAAGGACTGCGGGGCACTTTTTGAGGGCATATTGGTGATTGCTGGAAACTTGCAGGGCAATCCAATAATTTTTCCAAACACAAAAGCAAACGCACCCACGGGGGCAAGGTCCAACTCACCGAGATTCTTCATGGGTTAATGAAGATCAATGGCCACAAACAAACAATCTGGGTAAGTGGGACTGTTACATCTTCGATGCCACACGGGTCCTACCGGACCCGACTTAGGGCTAGAGGGACACAGTAGGGCCTAAAGGCCCGACCTTGGGATTTATCAGGCCGTAAAGGCCACATTTTGGACCAGACCGACGGGCAGGCCCAAACGACATTCTCGTTTTGGGCCTGGCGGTACTTTTGAGCAAGCCGCCCGCCAATCTGATCTGAACCGTTGATCTCGACAGTTCAGGTCACGGTCAGGCCTCGCAGCATTGAGGCCGGCCTCTTGGCCACCGGTACTTATACCGGTACCGGCCTCACTTCGGGCATCGAACCACCGGCAACTCAGCGGTGCGTTATGGTTAGCGCCAGAGCGCTAGCGCTATTCTTAGCGCAGGAGTACGAGGAACAGCGGCAGCAGCATTAGCGCAGCAGCGGCAGCGAGCGGAGCAGCAGCGGCGGCGACTGAGCATATCGGCGGCCATAGCCGCCTGAGGTATCGGGAGCCGGGGGTTCTCTCCTCCTTCCCGTCGCCAGTCCCCTCTCTCTCTCTCTCCTCCTCGACTCCCTTCTTCTTCTTCTTCTTCTTCTTCTTCTTCTTCTTCTTCTTCAGACTTCATTCTTCTTCTTCTTCTTCTTCAGATTGGAGACTTATACTAGTTGGACAGAGATCAGTGTTGGACTTCGGTGGTATGAGGCTGTGGTACTTACCGGGTTCGAGACTTGGAGATTGTTGGGGATGATACTCGGCTGCATCACAGATTGGACACCGGTTACATTAGGACTCTGTATCTCCGACATTGTTGACGTATTGTCCACGACACTTGATCTTGTTCGATGACATTTTGGATTACCATATCGGTGACCTACTGGTTTCTATCTCGGTGACATCTGGTGCTACCTACATCTCCCACCTCCTTCGTCTCTCCTCCCGCATTTCATCTGTGTATGTGTGTACGGGGCTGAGCATCGTCTATGAATGGCTCAGACCCCATCATCTCACGATTGTATGTGTGTGGAGTGATATCTATGTGAGTCAGTCTATGTGAGTCAGCCCGTTTATCAGACTTCCGCTGCATACATGCTCATCCTACATTGGTTGATCTTTGGTTCTGCCCCGTGCTCGTGGATACTTTCACGCGTATGTAACAGTTTTGGTATCGGGGCAGACCATTTTACGGATCTGCTCACAAGGTAAGTCTGATTAGGAATAGATTGTTTCTTCGATCTTCCCAATCAGCTCTGTATTACTATCGAGTTCAAAGTTGCAAACTTTTTCTTCTTTTTTTCGGTATTCTGTTTACTTCGGCATTTCCATTTCAATTCGGTATTCGAACTTGTAATTCGGATTTCTGTTTTACTTCGGTATGCTGTTTAATTCGAGTTCCGATAAATTGATACTAATCCGACATTCTGTTTAATTCGGATTTCTGATTATTGATTCGTGATTAGGTTGAAATCAGTACTCTGTTTAATTCGGCATTCTGATTTTCAGTTCGGTTTCCGTTTTTATAATTCAGCATTCTGATTTTCATCCTGTATTTCGTTTTCTAAATCGGCAGTTCCGTTTTGCATGGGTCCTGGGGACCAACTCACGCAGATGTGCATACATCAAACATCGTCTTCACACTCAATGGACACAGTTGCCACACACGAGACAAAGGTAGATGAGAATAGGACCAAGACCCGTCACTTATATTATCAAAAATTATGATTACAATGAGTTCACAGTTCCCTGAGTCAACGCGCTTCAGCACAATACCAATCCCACATCAGATACATCAATGCCACCTTCGTCACTTGCTTCTAGCTCAGGTAAGTGTCCTCCATAACCA